GACTTGATGGAACTTCACTATGCCGAACCAATCATGTTATAACAGAATAATTAATGCAAACGTATGATACACTGAACTGGAAATAGATCTAGCTAATGTGTTATACCATGGGAAGAATTACTTAGCAGGAACTCAGTTTGAACCCATCTATCAAGATAAATCTAGTCCACCCAGCGACCTCATCACATTATTTGATGCGACAGCCGAGTGGCTCTAAACTTTTTCCCTTGCCAGGGCAACACCAGATTTCCCTTTCTGTACAGTCACACCCCTCTATCATGTAGCAATATTGGAAGGTTAGGGTGGTAGTGAGCCCTGCTTGAAAATCCATTGACTAGTTATCTAGAAGCATACTTGCCAATATGCAACATTCTACAGTGTACAATGGATTTCTCCCAACCCCCTTAATTCATTTTTGATATTTTCCTGTAGTTCTACCATCATGACAATGAAATTGGCACCAAATTAGTAATTGCTAACAACCATGTCTTTATCATCCGCTTTTTCCCCCTCTATTAACAGCAACCAGAGGTGCAACTGATGCAGGAGTCTGTCCAGACCAGCAAGTCGGAGAGGCCGCTTCAGGAAATCTGGAAGCTAAAGAAAGAACTTGAGGATGAGACTCAGCGTCGGCAGGAGCTGGAATTGGAGATCAAAACCATCCAGAATAACATTGTCCACCTGCAGAACCAGAAACCCCAAGAAACCGTGGTTAAGAAAGAACTGCTGAAGAAAGTGCCAGACCCTCAGCTGGATGAGAACTTACACAAAATGCAGCAGAGCCTGGCAGAAGAACAGCGCAAGAACCAGGTGCTACAGGATGAGCTGGAGACCCTGAAACTGAAGCTGCGAGCCTTAGAGTATGAGAGGAGGGAAGGAGGTAGAGAGTATGTGGTAAAGGAGGTGCTGCGTATTGAGCAGGACAAAGCACAAGCAGATGAAATCCTAAAGCTTAAAGAAGAGCTGGAGGAGCTTAGGAGGCAGGAGGGAACCAGAGAGAGTGAGGTCACCCTCTTGCGCCAACAGATCTTTGTGTTGTCCAATGAGAAGAACACAGAGCAGGAGAAGGTGACTGAGAAGGAGGTGCTGAAGCTGCAGAATGACCCCCAGCTGGAGGCAGAATTCCAGATGCTGCAGGAGAACAAGCAGAAGGAGAGCACCCTTAGGCAGAAGCAAGAGGAGGAACTCAGCTTCCTGCAGGACAAGCTAAAGCGGCTGGAGAAGGAGCGAGCCATCGTTGAGGGCCAGATCACAGTGAAGGAGGTGCTGAAGGTGGAGAAAGACCTCGCCATGGAGAGGGAGGTGAACGAGCTGCGGCGCCAGTACGAAGATGAAAAGTCCAAGAACCGCTCCAATGAGAGGGAAAAGGCTGAGCTGCTCAGGAAGATCCAGGTCCTGGAGGAAGAAAATGCTAAGGTGGTCATCCAAGAGAAGGTGCGTGAAATTGTGCGCCCCGATCCCAAAGCTGAAAATGAAGTGGCCAACCTTCGCTTGGAGTTGGTGGAGCAGGAGAGGAAGTGCCGAGGCGGGGAGGAGCAGTTGAAGAGCTGCCAGACTGAGCTAGCGACTCTCAGAAACAGAGGGCCCCAGGTGGAGGTGAAAGAAGTTATCAAGGAGGTCATTAAGTACAAGAATGATCCAGAGACTGAGAGGGAGCTGCAAAGACTCTGTGAGGAGATTATGGACAGGACCGGTGCAATTGAAAGAGCTGATTTGGAAATCTATCAGCTGAAGCAAGAGATTCAAGTCTTGAAAGACACCAAGCCTCAGGTGCAGCTGAAGGAAGTGGTTCAAGAAATTCTCCAATATCGTGAAGACCCCAAGACCAGGGAGGAGGTGGAGTTCCTGAGAGCTCAGCTAGCAGATGAGCAGAAAAAGCATATTGATCTGGAGAGGGAGCAGCTGCTTCAAGAGGAGAAGATCAGGCAGAAGGAGGAAGAGCTGTCACATGTGAGAGAGAAAGTGGTCCAGCAGGAGGTGGTGAAGTATGAGCAAGACCCCAGCTTGCAAGCAGAGGTTAATTCCTTCTCTCAGAGCATCGAGAACGAGCTGATGCAGATCGACTGCCTGCGGGAAGAGATGCGTAAGCTGCAGCGGAGGAGATCTGAGCTGGAGTGCCAGCTGGAGGAACTTGAGAGAGAGAGGCAGGCCCGCAGAGAAGCTGAACTCGAGGTGCAAAGGCTGAAGATCAGGCTGAATGAGCTGGAGGAACAGGAAAGGGAGACTACAGAGAGAGTGACTGTGAAGCAGAAAGTAATCCTTCAGCAAGACCCACAGCAGGAGAAGGAACACTCCCTCCTCAAGCTGGAGTTAGAGGAGGAGAAGCACCGAAGACAAGTCCTGCAAGCAGAGTTGGAAGCCCTAAGCAAGAAGCTCCTCACACTGGAGAGGATGGAGGTCAAAGAGAAAGTGGTCTTTTCAGAGAGCGTTCAAGTGGACAGAGGGGACACTGAGTACGAGATTCAAAAGCTGAAGAGCAACCTGGAGGAGGAAAGCCGGCGTAAGAGGGAGCTGGATGCAGATATGAATCGGCTTGAGGCCCGGCTGTCTGAGGTGGAATTCAGCAACTCCAAGTCCTCGAAGGAACTAGACTTCTTGAGGGAGGAAAACCACAAGCTCCACCTAGAAAAGCAGAATCTGTTGATGGAAACCAAGAGGCTGCAGTCAGAGATTGAACTCACAGCAACGGAAGCTCGGGACTTAAGGAGCATGACCCAGGTGGACAGTGGAGTGAATCTGGACTCCAGATTCCAGACCTTAGAGAGAGAACTGGAAGATCTGAAGAAGCTGTCCAAAGAAAAAGACACAGAAATTGAGCAGCTTCAGAATCACCTCAAGACAGTAGCCATCAAGAGAGAGCAAAGAGAGAACCACCTGCGACGTTCTATTGTGGTCATTGACCCTGACACAGGCAAAGAGATGTCTCCAGAGGAAGCTCACAAACTTGGCCTCATTGAATGGAGCTTGTTTGTCAAGCTGAAGAGCCAGGAATGCGACTGGGAAGAGATCACCATCAAGGGGCCCAATGGAGAATCCTCTGTGATCCTCGACAGGAAGTCTGGCAAAGAATTCTCAATTGAGGATGCCTTAAAGAGTGGAAGGCTAACCATGGCTCAGTATGATAGTTACCTCAACAAACAGATATCCATCCAGGAGCTGGCAGTCTTGGTGTCTGGAAGTAATTACAAAATGTTCCCTCCATTCTAATTAGAAACTTTTATTCAAGCAGCTTAGTGAGAGCTGCACAACTTATTACAACCCTAGACTGCTGCAAGTCATTGCCTCCCTTGCGTCTTCCAAATTACTAGAGCTTTCTTTTGCATAGTCCATCAGGAGGGTGCTATGAAGCCATACTGTTTGCTGTATTTGTTGCAGAAAAGCCCTGCCAAGTCAGGGCAGAAAAAGCATTTGTCAAAGTTATGCTTAACTATTCTTCCCCACCACTACCTGGGCACATACTCCCACAGAAAATGGGTAAAGTCAGATCAGCATCTCACGTTCAGTGTCCAATTGAAAATAGGTTGTGTCTGTTGGTATAATTCTGTGTATGAAATCTGTACTTCTCCTCAGAGGATAAGCATATGCAAGGAGCTGTAGAAGAAAGGGACTAAAGGTCAAGAGTCAAGGAATGCCAGCAGAACATGTTAAGCAAAAATGTGCATTTGAAAATCTAAAGCCAGACACTTGCATTACATACATTTGACTAAACAATGGTATCTTCACCTGAGAAAAGCAGTTGAAAGCTCAAAACTGAAATTTGCATCTTAATTGCGTAGTCATTATGTTAACATCTAAATGGCTGCTTCTATTAAAACTTTGTTCACCTGAGTGCCTATAATGAGGAATGGGGGACAACCCCAGCAGTTTGATGCAGTAAACCCTAGATTGAAGGAGGTATTCATAGAGATCACCCAGAATCTTGTAAAGAGATATCAATGTTACAATAAGAAAAATTAGTAGAAAAGCATGCTACAGTAACCAAATGCAGAGGTGCTTTCTAGAGACAGTTGTGCTTCCTTCATGGTTAAAAGCCATTCATGCAGGTATTTTAGTGACTACAGTTACATTCATTTATATGTATCATTTATTTGTATAAGGGAATGGGAAATATAGGGAAATTCTATTTATAGCACAAAATAAAGATGTGGTGGTTTAAGCCAAGGGTTTACTTTTGCTTTTTTAAAATTGATAGTCTGTTTCTATATTGCTCTAAAAAAGGGAGGGGCTGTACCCAACACATATGTTTTCTAAATATAAAACAGGAATATTTAAGTGTGGTACCTCTATCATTCAAAATGTTAGTTGAGTCTACTTGCAAGGAAGGCCTCCAGCTGATCCACACGTTGTCCTCACAGGCGAGTTCCAGGTAGGTTTGGTGTTTGGGTTAGTTTAGGAACTTCTGCCTTAATGCAGAGCAGCAGTATGAAAAAGGCCCCATGAAGACACTTAGATCTCACACTGATTTTGAAAGGAATTTCCCAATCCACAGTGCTCAGTTTACCTATACAAGAGTTTTTCCCCCATCTGTCAGGGCTACAGTCCCAGTTTGGGATCTGGAAGACAAGCTGGGCTCTTTCTACATCATGTATTAAAAGATTCTACAGACCCAGTTCTGCACTTACCAACACCCACATGGAAGTGTCCAAGTGTACAGAGCATCATCTGTGCAGTCCCACTGCCTTCTATAAGCTGATACAGATGTAACATTCTGGAACCTGGCAAGCCATTTTATTCATCTCTCTATAGCTATGTTGACCCCTCCAGGCTAACAGCTTACTTCACTGTCCATAACTCTCGATGCATGTAGGATTCTCTCAATTTAAGGTGGTGCCATTCTACTAAAATTACATGTAGGTGCAAACCAGATTTTGAAAAGACTTAACAATTAAAAGGGCACCAACCAAAATAGAAGCAATTATGTTACCAGGGACTGGTATATGCAGAAAAAGTGATCTAGCTTAAAAACATACACATGATAATGAAGGAGACTGAAACAAATGTTTTGGAAACTTTGAAACAATTTATTCAGTTGCTCTGTACAAGATTAAGTTTTCACACCACCCCCATCATTGTCATCTAGACAGCCCCAACACACACAAAAAATAATAAAAATAAATTGCAGCTCTTACACCCAAAAGAAACTGCCATACTCAATAAGTGCCATCAGGAGGAGGCTCACCACTCTGCGAGAAAGAAAACAGCTAAACGTGCCTAGCCAAGGCAGATATCCCAGTCACTCTGCTCCCCATCAGGTGTGATCTCTCTCCACAGTCCTGCCTTGCCACGGCTGTTTAAATTCATTCACTCGTTCATTATAGCGTGTAAAGAAAAAAAGAAAAATATCCCACAGAATTTCCACCGAATAAACATTTCCCTGAGGCAAGAGGCTTCACTAAATTCCTAAAATGAGGGCATTCAGCTCCAGCAGGGACACGGGAAGGTGCCTCCCAGCAGAAGCATTCAAGTGAAAGCAAAAAGAGGGAGTGGAACCAGTACCTCGGGTAGCTCATTAAGGGCCTGAGGCTTGCCAGGCATTGAACACACTTTCAGCTGCCACTCAAGAGGAGGTCCTGAATGGGAACCATGCGACATCCATTGCTCAGAGTCCATCAATAACTGCTGTGCTTTACCTTAACACAAATTCTGTCTTTGGCTCTTTTGCTACAACCTAGATTTTTTTTTATTTTTTGTAAACAAATTTGAAATTTGAGCTGCATTTTCTTTTAAAAATATAAACAATGAAGTGATCTGGAGAAGTCATTTATCAGTCTGAATTAAAGAGATGCATCTTGGGTCTTATTAAAAAAAGAGAAAACTTGGTTGAATGTTTGCTGGTTATATACTCTCAGTCAGCCTCCCTTCCAAAGCACCGGAGGAAGTCTGCAAGCGTTTAGTTTTAATACCATGGGTTTTTTTAACATATAAGTACTACTCTTTCTGAAGCTCAGATAACCAGACCATATGGAGGTGGCCTGTAAAAAGGGAGATCACAACACTGCAACTACAATTCAATGGGGCTTACCATCTGAGAAACACAGACTGCCCTCAGTCTATGCTACATCCAAAGGGGATGCGCAAAGAGAGTGAGGTTAGCATACAGGTCTAAAGCTAGAACACCACACTCCCATGCTAGCCAGTTCCTCATTTCTGCAGCTCTGACAAGTCAAATGATTTTAGTGCAGAAGTCATCAAGGAGAGCAATATCCACCAGAATTCATTTGATTATCAGCATCCTTAGTTCATTTAGATCACTCCCTCTGCCCACCAAAAAGATCATTACTGAAGACCCTAGTAAAGAATGGCTTTAGGGGAGGGTCTGGAACCCACTTGCACAAACTCAGATCAGGTAAGAACTGGTGCTCTTGCTGGATTTGGTACTGGACTTGCAGTAACCAAGTCACCATTTAAGTCTGGACAGTGCAGCTTTTGATGTGCAACCATAAAAAGCTCTATTAAATAAAACGGAATACATCTTAAATACAGAATGATTAAAAAAGGGTTGAGGAGCGCGCAAAAAAGGGCTGAAATGTGTGTAGTTAGTCCATTCTTGCTCCACCATAAAAGGCACTGGAATTATGTCTTCCTATACACATGACATGCTGAGAAGTGTCCCATCCAATCCAATGCATTCGATGGTAATGAGGATAAAACTGAGCCAAAAGAAAAGCATCCCTTTGAAGGAAACAAAAATAAAAGATGTAGAATCATTTCAATGCTCATGAGTGCATCCAAAAAGTCTCTAAAGAGTCCTCATTCTCTTCCAGAGGGGAACATCAGGCAATTTGTTATATTTACCGTAGAGGAAGTGCTAGGTTCTCCTATTAGCTTTAGCATAGCTTCATAGTAGAACTGAAAAATTGGAGTCAATGTCTTCAGAAAGCACGGGAAGTGCTACAGTTATCTAAGTAAATTCAAAGCAAGAAGAAGCACCTTTCACATACTCCACTGGGATATCAAGGAGGTAATTGAACTTGGAGGTACTCTGCACTGGTGCGCCGATGGTGCTCAGCTTGTTGAAAGATGCGCCATCCTTGTTCCTCTGCAAGTTCTGGTGCCTGTCAGTGCCAGTGTAGTGTGAGGGGCAGCAGCAGTGGAATGGTGCCACAGGCATTTCTCTCAAGACAACCTATGCTAGGGTCCACCTTGCAAATCCCCTGGAGGCAAGTGCTGAGAAGCTCTTTCTTTCCTCAGTTCAGGTCCTCCCATTGCCATGAGGAACAGAGAAAGTGATGGAGTCAGCACCCAGTGTTCCTGGCCTGCTCCTCGTGGGTTTGTCCTGTGCTGGTGCAAGCTCGTTCCCTTCCAAGTGTCACAACTTCCGCTGTGGTGCATTGGACCCTTTGCCATGAAGCTGAGATGCATCTAAAAGAACAAAATGAGAGGGGTTTCAATGTCAACCTCAGGTCTCAACTGCCCGATGTTGTCTCACCCTGCACACGAAAAAGCTGTTCTGCACCTCAACCCCCAAGAATTTGAGCTAGGAACTACTGAGCAAAACAAACTAGCAAGGGCCCTTATCCATAGTTAACAAATGCAAGATGTTATCAATCACCCAGACACAATCTGGAAACATGGCACAGTTTGAGAGAGGCTGCAGATAAATTCAGATGGACTTTTCATTACTGGCAGTTGGTTGTAATGACTGCTTTGGATGCTCCACACAAAGGAAACCAAGAACAACTCGGGTGCATTATTCCAAGTTTAAACACCCAAGTATGGGAAGGAAACAGCAGGAGGGAGCAAAACAAGAAATAAGGGCAAGAATAGTGAACAATGACAAAGAAAGTTAAAGACGCAAAAGTTTCCAGGAAGAACTGAACTACTGTCATGCTATAGGAGGGAATTGGTGCATTTGAAATAGGTATAGACAGGCAGTCAGGGCCCTGGGCCTGGGCGAATAACAGTTTGTTCTCTGCTGGCCACTCTCAGGCTCAAAAGGTGTAGCCCATTCTAGAGATGACTCATGACATAGATAAGGTTAGAACCACCATGAGGAGATAATGCGTATGCACCTTCACAAGCAAACATGCTGGCAACAGGGCAACCGCTACATGCCACCTGTTCAGCTGCTTCTTGATAGCTTCAAACAGAAGCATGTCACACTTTCCAGAACTACCAGACATCTCATCACATGGTAGGCTATACAGCTTTCACATGTTCATAGCTCTTTACACTGAAACACACTCCCAGGAAGCATTTCCTCCCCTTCCAATAGGCAGGAGATTTCTGGTTAAACTGTCATTCCTCTACATAAATTAATAGTTTTAAGCTAGAAGGAACCATTCTGACAGACTAATCCCTGGAATTCACCCACAGAGAACTCCATCTAGCTTGTAACTTCTAGTTGAGCTGGAACACAACTTTATTGGAAGATGACAAGTGACAATGGCTCCACCACATCCTGAGGCAAGTTCCAATGGCTAATTCCCTTACTTTTTTTTTTTTTTTTTAAAAAGCACCTTCTTTCTAGTTTTTTGTCCAGCTTCAGTTCTTGGCCACCGGATCTCATGTTGTATTTTCACCTAAATTAAGGAGCCTTCTTCCACTATCAAGATGGTGTTTGTAGATTACATTCAAGTTGCTTCTTTTTGCCCATGTTAGACAGACAAGATCATGTCTTACCAGTAACACATTAGGTCCCATTTGCAGTCACTGTTTAGTTAAGAACAGCTTGTTTCTTTAGAGATGTTGTTTTACCAACACACCTGAGAGGAAATGGATTTCAGTCCTCTGCTTCTAGGTCACAGAGTTTGTACCTAATCAGTAATTTTTGGTCGCCATGTTCTCTACTCCCCAACATCTTTCACTCCATAACATACTGACTAGAAAGAAATGGTATGCTTCTGCCAGGATGCAGGAGAAAGCACAGAAGAGGATCCTTTGGAGTTTCCTATACCCCCAGTGTCTGCATTAGGGGAACACATTCCTTCACAGCAGATGCTAGAAGGCACTACTGTAATCACAAGCCTCATTAACTACAGAAGTTTGCTCACATGTGCCCATGCTGCCTCACTCACCCACAAAATCTGCTCAAGAGAACCATAGCAGCAGCACTGAATTGCATTACCTGTGTAATACAACAGACCGGACAAGAAAAGCAGGAGCAGGTGTAGGTGAGTTCTGAGTTGTACTAGCAGAGCAAGGTTTACTCAACACTTAAATCTAGGTTTCATGGACATTAAATGTATTCCCCCACCACAACACCTCATACAGAGCTGCTACGGTTACGTCTGCACACACAAGCCACAGCAGCTTTTGCTCTAGACAGTGCTTCTCAACTTTGTTAGGCTGAAGGGCCTCTTTGGGAAATGTCAGTTCTTAACTTCCGCTCATTTTTTGAATGCAGGAAACTAACAGTGCAAGTCTTCTGTTGCAAAGAGCTTAGAAAGACCACAACAGGGCACAGTAATTTTAACACTATGGATTCTCCGAGGTGATCTTGTAAATCAGGTTTGCGCACCTAGGAGCGCTAGCATTTTGTGGCACCCTGTAACACCCTTGAAACGAACTCAAGGTATGCCAGGCTGCCAGCCTACTCTGGCTGAGAATCACTGCCCTAGCAGTAACTCACTTGAGAGCCCACTGCAGAGTGCTGTAAAAGCACCCACATAATACAGTGCACACTCAGCCCCTACTCTGTTTCTAGGCTCTAGAAACAGTAGGAATATTCAGCTGTACCTCACAGACGTAGTGTGCTTTGTGCTGATTCTGAAGGAAGGCTATTAGGGTCACAACTAATGACTCACACAAATGTCGAGTCATCAGTACATGACAGTTGGCACTGCAAAGTTGGAAACTCACACTGCAAAGTTTCCAGCAGAATGTAAGCTTGCCTTGAAGGAAAGGCAGCCACCTAGTCAGATGCCCAAGTGTAAGATTTCCTCTTAGACATCTAGGCCTAACACCTTATGTAGAGAACAAACAATCATCTATACAGCCAGTGCATTCAATCCTAATCAGTATCAACAGCCTACACAAAACCACCCAAAGCTGTGAATACTCAAAATGAGGCCATTTATCTTTGCACAAAGAACAGAGCTGAGTCCCTGGATAAACTGAGAAATGCCAAACACCATGTGTGGGAAGTCATCCCAGATGGAGGTATCAAACTCAAAGGACATTCAAGATTGATCCTAACCCTAAATCACATGAGGCTGGTGAAATGGAGCATCAGCAAGGACCATACCAGTAAAGACAACACTGAAGTCAGGGGTACTTTCACCACAAAAGGAGCATGTGTTGAGACAGAGGGTGACTCACAACGCAGAAGACAAACAAGACCATCTGACAAGTTACCTGGCAAACTTTGCGGTAAATGGGTGGACAGGGCAGAGTGTGGGAGTGGTGCTGCATGGTGCGGGCTGGAGTGCAAGCCAGCCAGAAGACCTAGAGAGAAAAACAAAGAAAGGAGGGGGGAAAAAAAAAAGAACAAACACACATTGAAGACAGAAACAAGCAGAGGAGCTGCAGCAGTCAGAGCCAATAGCTTAGCCACCAGTATTAAGGCCTGCCGAGCAGTGGGGTCCCTGGGCTAGCTACAGGAACAAGCCCAGGGGCATCCAAAACCACTTACTAATGACACAAACAAATGAATTACAAGCACAAAGCAAGAACATGAGTGATGGGCTCATCTGCAATGGGCTAAACACAGCTGAGTGTTTTCGCAATTCTACTGCACAGGCAGGAGAAACACGCACAGGGGAGAAAGGAAGAACTCACTGTGGCCAAGACCGTGGTGAAACGTTCCTGGGGCAGGGCCAGTTACTATTGCATCCTTCGATACTCCTGCTTTAGGGGAGGAGTCTGAGCTGAAGGAGATGACGTGAAGAGGGAAGGAATGGATAGGAGATATAATCCCCAGTGGTGTGGAGCTCAGGGCACCTGGCAGCTTTGAATTGCTGGACTTGTAGGATGGAGACAGTACACTTAAGGAAGAAGAACTGGTTAGCAGCACAGCCCCACTAGTTCCTTTCTGAGGAGGAAAGAGAAAAGGTAAGTCAAAACAGGAAATCAATAGCACCTCATCATTACTCATATTCCGCACGAAGCAGCATAGGAGGTGGGTACAGGACTCCTGCCACACCAGAACACTTCTCATCTACAGAGCGCGCGCGAGAGAGAGAGAGAGAGAGAGAGAGAGAGAGAGAGAGAGATGTCCAGCTGCCAGGAGTCACCTCCATGATGCCAATAGCCCAGTGTCTGAACACTGTGTTTGGAAAGGTAAGAATGACCATACTAGATTAAAACCAGTCACATCTAGGCTGGAATCCCACCTCCAACAGTGAACAATGCCTCAGGGGAAGGTGTGGACAAGCATGCACTTATGTTCTTAGGAGGAAGTTCTTACTAGTTCCCAGCAGTATGTATGTAGCTGCTCTGTGTCCTATAAGCAAAGGGGCCAGCTTTCTACAGCCTTGGATTTTTATCCTGTTCCACTAACTGAAAACACCATTCAGTCAGATGGCTGACTGGCTAGACAGTACTTTATTACATAAGAGTACTTAGCAGGACTAATCAGCTTTTAGCTACAGTGGGCTATGTTATGGGGAGTATTGCAGGGGGTCCCAAAGTTGAAGGCAGACCCAATGTTACTTAATGATGCACTAAATTTGTATTTATTTTTCAGAACCCAAAGTTCTGTTCTGCCTAAACAGATTATAGAAGCAATCCCGAAGTAATGGAAGGGTGCAGTAGCTGGACACAAAATAACTGTCTATTTAGCGCTTAAAATAGTGTGGGAGATGCTTTGGCTTATTGGAATAAATCTAGTTCAATTACCTGTTCTTCAACAGTGAAGCAATCTTGATGCTGTAATACTTAGGGTGTAGTAATTTTAAAAATCAGACCAAGTTTGAGTTTGCAAATCTAAAACTTGAAAGTCTGTTCTAATGCAATTAAGGAGTGGAGTGAAGCACACAATGATATTATATAAACACTGCAAGTTGTAGACTATCTTTTTTGAAACTTTACAGATCTGCTATAGACTAAAACCCCCAAACTACCGAAAAATAAGACAGCGCTTCAGTGGGTATAACTACACACATAAGGAAAGCTTCACTGATTTCAGGTAAACTATTTACAAACTTATGTGCATCAATTTAGGCATGCGCAAAAGGTTTTGCAGCACCATGGGTTTATTTTTTTTAAAACATTTTTCTAGCTAGCATAAACTTTTGTTACTTAAAAGCCAGATTTACTTTAGTGTTAGCAGTAACAAGTTAGTCACTGCACCCCCCCCACCCCCCCACAGAGTCCAAAAATTTTAGAAACAGGAACCTAATACTGTACTGGGTGCCTGCGGGTTGTGCTTTCAAGTGATTTAGGAGCCCCAGGTCTACTTTGCCTTCAGACTACAAACCCCGGGGGAAGAAAAAAAATCAGGTGAAATTATAGCTGAATCCAGAGAAATATAGCTTTGACCTCATGCAAGTTCAATTGATGGGAAAGTGGCTGCAAATCTATCTGTGCATGTGCATATGTACATACTTAAAGGAAGAGTTCAAGCCCTGAATGTGTCTCCATCAGACAAACATGTTAACTGTGAAACATCTTACAAAAGAAGTCTAACACTTAGGAAGTAATTAAAGGAAGAAGAGCAAAATAGCTCCTTTGCCTATTTAACAACTACATAATACAATAGCAGAAAGCAGGGCAGGGGGGGCATCTTAGGGCATTTTTACATAAGGTCTGGGACCCAGTGCCAGGCACTTTAATTAGAGAGCCGTGCTAATTAAAAGCGCACACGTATCATGTGCATCAGCATCACCGCATGTCCCTGCACTAAAAAAATGGTGGCGGGGTGCTTTGAACTAAAGCTCATTGAATGCGTTTTATTTCAAAGCACTCCACTGCCATTTTTGCAGCACAGGGATGCATGAGGACGCTGATACACATGTTGCAGAAGGCTGCAGGAATATATCAATTTCTGTGCTCTAGCAGAATCAATTAATTGAGTCTGCTCCGATACACTGGATTTCCAGCGTGTTGGAGCAGGCTCTGTGCACATCTATAGGAGCCATTAGAGACCAACTGGCTCAGAGAGACAGGAGCCTTTGTAGATAACAACCTTTGTCAGAGCTGTGGATAATAATTAATGTCTTGGTCAACTGGTAGCAACTGGAAAAGTAAGTTGTTACCTAAAAATGCTCATACCCTGCTGCACAAGCTGGTCTCCAAGTTGCCACTCTGCCACCTTCAATTTGACTTTGGACTAATACAACTAACCACCTCTATAGAACAGGAAATGAAGAAGCAGGAAAATGTAAATAAAAACATCTGAATTAAATTTGGAAAGTGGATACATGTTACACACATTTGAAAACCACTTTTAAGTTTGCCTCACTAGATTTTAGCAGTTATTTGCTACTGAGGTGAACAGAACAGGTGTGGACGTTAATTTGGGCTATTATTTCAGTTGTCTGCACACTGAACTAGCCAGCACCTCAGTGTACCAAAAAATAAAAACATTCCAAACTGTGAGCCAAGTGTAATTGACACTGACTGCATTTTTTTTTTTTTAAAAAAAGCTTGGATTCTGGAGCCCTATTCAGGGGCAGAGTCACTGTCCAAGCAATCTGAACACAAAGCCTGCAGCAGAAGCAAACAGTCACTTATTTTTGGAACTTCTTTGAAAGCTTGTGTGTAGCGGCAAGTCTTAGGAACTGTTAAGAGCAATAGCAGTGTCCTCAGATGCTGGGCTAAGCCAGCAGGGTACTCACCGGCACAGAGGTAGAAGATGCAGTGCTGCTCACCACAGCTGGCTTGAGGGAGGAGGTCAATAACTTCGCCACTCCTTGAGTCCCTCCACTTGTGTCTCCATTTGGGCCACCAGGTGGTGCTACTAAAGTCAGCTTCTGGGAGACTGGAGTTTTCTTTATGGTGGAGCTTGGGGAGGAGCGGCTGGAGGTTTGCCCTGGGGAGGGTGTCTGCACACCGGAGAGCAAGCTCCCTGAGGAGGAGCTCTGGTTTGCAGGCACACCAGATGTGGAACTGCCGGAAGAAGCCCCATGCTTGGAAAGGGAGCCAGAAATGAAAGGAGCTTTGTAGGATTGGCCTGAAGAACTGGAGCTGACTGAGTGCTTCCCTGCATAGCTCATGGATGCCGGAGAGGAGCCTGGGGTCTTGTGAGAGCTGCTTGAAGCTGGGGTGCTGCCTGCTGCTGATGAAGCTGAGGAATGGAAGCTCTGAGCTTTAGTTGACGTCTTAACCTGCTGGAGGAGAGAGCGCTGGGGAAGGGGGGAGGTGGACTTGGGGCTCTGCAGCTTGACAAATGGAGCTGGGGATGTGAAGTTTTTTTGTTGCTGGCTGTTCGAGTGAAAGACCTTTACCTGGGTGGCCGGCACAGGTGTTGACGTCTGGGGCCCATGACTTGGTCGCTGCAGGCTGTGGTGCTTCTGTTTGGCCTGATGTGCATCAGGGATTTTATTGGGGGAGGTTTGGCAGGACAGTTCTTTGAAACTGGAACTCTCTGTCTTTTTGTCTTGAGTGGACTGTCCCAATGCCAGTGCCTGTTCAGCCAGGAAATTGAGGGGTGACTGGAGAGAGCCACTGGGGGACGGGGAAGGAGAAGGACTGGACTTAGCAAAGTTCCTTTTCTCCTCTGAACTGGTGAGATTTGTCATCTTCTCTGAAGGAGTTTTTGGGGTCCCAGGAAGTGTGAAATCGGGGCTTCCAGCTGCCCTGCTATTTAGCACAGCCAGCTCTTTTGAGACAGCTTCCAGCGAGGAGGTTGGGTTATGAATTAAGTCCTCATCCAGGGAGTCATCCATACTGAAGGCAGCAGGGGTGGCTGCACTGCTAGATGCCTGGGAAGCACTGAGAGCCAAGAGCTCTCGAGTCTGGGTGCTGATGCCCATGCCTGCTCCCTGGGGCTCTGAAGACAGAGAAACTGTGCCACTTGAGTGGATCAATGGAACAGATATAGGAATCTTTTTATCTGGCTTACTGGAGGAGTCCTGAAAGAACATCAGGAGAGAGACGTCAGACCCGACAAGGAACTTACTTCTCAAAGGGAAAGAAAGGCAGTTCTTACCAGGGTATCAATATCCCAAGCTGTCAAATGTCAGGGGCTAAGGCAGGTCCAGATCAGCATGCTCTCTGCAGGCTGACCTACAAGCTGTGTAGCACCACAGCTGACTGCTTAGTTCTCCAAGGACAGCCTGTTTAAGTCACAGATTCAATCCCTGCCCAGTAATGGTACTTGTGTCAACCAGGAGGATCTGCCCCTCATGTGCTCCACACAGACAAGAGAAAGCCAGAAGTGAACTTTAGCCAGGAAATATTCCCAGTTCCAACCAGCTGGGTTGGAAATACCCCAAGAGGAAACCCTTGGATCAGAGAACAAATCATTCAAAGTCCACATCTGTCACCCCTTAGGACAGGCACATCCTATAACAAGCATATGGCAGATGCAGCTAACTGCTGTCAAGTAGCTTCATGACAACTCCTGGATTTTGGTAGAGACCGGGAAGTGAAGGCTGTATTATAATGCGAGAAACAAATCTGCATGCGTGGATGTGAGGGAGATTACGTAGATATGGAAGAGAAAGCTTTGCCTGTTTTAAGCTCAACTTACCCAGTTCTCCCAAATTACAACCACTGCTAAACACTCCATTTCCTCAAAAATCAGGGAGGGGAAGACATTTAGTGCAGGGGGTGGGCAAAATATGGCCCATGGGCTTGATCCAGCCTGCCAGGCACCTTCATCTGGCCCATGGCTCCCACCAACTAATTGTATCCTGCCCAGCCCTTCTGCCCATGAAGGTGGAGTGAGGCCCCCACCTTCCCTCCCTCCCTCCCCCCCACGCACCTCCCCACCCTACCACACACATACATGCCTCCACCCCCACCCCCACACACACACACACACACAATACAAGACTAAGACTATTTTTGAGCTATTATGCAATCACCTCTACATACAGTAGGCAAACAAATCATGACAAAAATATTTTTTGTAATAGATTTAAATTTGTTATAACAGGCGTTTGACTTTTAGTGTATGATTTATTTTTTTCTGGTTCTAAGGATAACAAACCCCCCTCCCAAAAGGAGTATTTCTGGGGGCAAGGGGAGGGACTTCCGGTGGGTTTGGGGTGAGACGTCTGGTCCCAAGATGGTGACCAGGGAGGTGGGGCAGCTGTCAACGGGCAGGGCTACCCACGTGACACTCAAAAGCTTACTAAACCTCATTTAGCAGCCCTCCAGCCAAAATAATTACCTGCCCCTGATTTAGCATGCATCTTTGGATTCCATGGTAGTTTTAAGGAGAGATCACTTATGCCCATTCTCCTGTCATATCCTTTTCCAAGATTTCTATATCCCTACACAGTAGCGTCCTCATCCAAATGCTTTATTTAGAACTAGAGGAAGCCAAAACCTCAATCCCATAGAGTCACGTGGAAGTAATCTGGCCCATGGAGAGGGGGAAATCACTCTCTGGAATCCTTTCTCCACCTTATAAAGGATAAGCATTGCCCCCTTGAGGTAGGGAGATGACACCACTCACCTTCACTTTCACCTTTGGAGGAGCCATCACTTTTTTCTTTGCCCTGTTTGGAGACATACACAGAAACATGGGCTCATTCAATGTCCCTGAAGAACAACAGAATTAAAGAGCATGCTGGGGACTCTTCACAAGAGTGCATTAACTAATCTCCTGAGATTCAGAGGAAGAAAGGCAGCTTCTCTGGTTGCTAGGATTCTAAGCACATGAGGTTTCTTTTTCTAGACAGCCCCAAATTATGCTTCATGTTAGAAAGGAGGGAGGTGGGAAGAAGAAAAGTCTTTGGAGTACTGGCAAAACATACTTCTAAAACTTGCGCTGTAAGCATTCAGCCTGCACATTCTCCACCTACTGTCCCATTAGAACCAGAAGTGGGTTTGCTACAATAATCCATGCCAGAGCACAGGCATCTACAGAAAGATCCAGCAACAAAATTAGTATGACCACTCTGCCCAAGGTCACTACAGAGGCAAACAGGGAATCGAGAAGGTATCAAGGATCTAAGGACATCCTTGGATAGCAAACCTTTTGACAGTAAGTCTCATAAAAATCATTGGTCATTGGAGCAGGCACCATCCCAACCAGATCTAATTCTCATGACCAACCAGCATCCTTCCTTCTTGCCTCTGCTAACTAGTTCTTATTTAGCTAAGCAACAGGAAAGAAGAGACCAAGTCTGAGACAAACAGGGTGAGTGCCACACATACACTGATGGCATAACAGCCCAAACTCTCTCAGTGCCTCCTCTGGGTCAAGTGTACACACTCAGCAGAATGAGCAACAACTGAATACCATAGGGAAGCCCTGTGTATGGAGTTCACATCTGAGACTGCTTCAAGTGCCTGCACAATGAGTCCCATTTTAACCATATTTCAGGAAATGCAAAAGATGAACAATTAATAATGAACCTATTGTTGAGAGTGGCCCTATGCAACCCTCTCATCTTCTCAGAAGCTCTCCCACTCAGAGGAACCAAACCTTGTGCAATTCATCCAGGCCACAATCATACAAGCAAAACTAGAGGCTGCTGCCCTGAGCCTGTGTTAAAATTCATAAAAAACTTTACTCAGTACCCCCAACCAAGAGGAATCAAGCAGTAGGCTCCTAGTTTGTCAACTGCCACAAGATACTCACAGGATGGATGTTAGGTGCCCATGCACACGCCTGCTCTCCTTGAACAGTGTCCTGGAAAGGAAAAAGAAGGCAGTGAGTAGTTGCATCTAGCCTGGCCCACAAGGATGACGGAGCCAAACTGCTGGAGCCAAAGACAGCTGATGCTGAGGCATACCATTCTATTCCAGGAAGCTCTTCACTATCATCAGCTTCCCATTCAAGTCCCTCTCTTGGGTAGATCTTCTCTTGGCAGGCTCAGGGGCCAATAAGGATTACAGCTTCAGTGAGCCCTCTGCTACTAGAACCAGATAAATTAATCGGCACTGCCATATCAGCTCCAGTTCAGTTAACTGGGATCACTGCAACTGCTTCTTCAGGTGTCAGGGGAAGAAGCTTATAAATACAGTTAAGACGTATGCATTTAATGCCTTCCCCTTGCTATTCCCATACCTGATTATAAAAATCAAACCATTTTGAAAAAAAATGCCAGCTCAGAGTATGTATTCTTTTAACTGCCGTTTACCTACCAGAATAAAAATAGACTGCCTATTTTCACACAACCCTCCTTGAAGTTCTTAAAGATCAATCACTGCCTTGTCATTTACAGAGAATCAAAATGATTTGCATGTGAAATATGTACACCAATTGTTGCCATTCCCTTTCTGTCCACTTATCTGTTTGTCTGCCTTCAGACCATGAGGTCTGAGCTGAGCCTGTCCTCCACCAATTGGAAGGTGACCAAGAAAAAACATTTTCGTTCCTAGTCATTTTCTGATCAATTCCATGTCTTGGCTCTCCAGCGTTTAGTGCCAGTATTGCAACAGTACCTGGCTAATGCTTCAGGAACCATTCACTTGGTTAAGAACCAGTTTCCTCCAGAAGTTGGAACAACTATGGAAATGTTTCGATTTCAAGCCAACATAATCCTGTACACTTATTTCCCAATTGCTTTACTCAGCCTGTGTTATGTGAAAAGAGCATGACAAATGCATTTGGGCATCTCATTTACATACATAGTTGCAGCAAAGCAGCATGCAGATGTCCATGGAGAGCTGTCATTGGTTATTTGCATGTGCAGCTATAAAAACCTGGGACCCATTTCTCCCCTCTTCCCTCGATAATCTACAAAGGAGGTTGAGGAAGAGAAAATGGAACATCACCATCCAACTCACTGAAAACAAAGGATGCCAAACTCCAGCAGTGGGAACATACTGCTGTCCTTTTAAAATCACAGAGCAAGACAACAGACAGTCTCATCAAAATGGCTCCCTCCATCTCATGCTGGCATCCTCACTTCTAGACCTCAAGAGAAAGCACAGATGAGCAGTGCAGAAGATAACAAGGTCCGATTCCTGC